AAAGAGCGAACCAATACTGTATGTAAGGTATATTCCCGAATCTCCCTTCATACTTGTCCAGTATTAGGAAAAGACGAAAACCACCATTGAACCGAACTGAATTTGTTAGAATAAAAAAAAGGAAGAAAATACTAGAACCTATTGCTGAAGAAACTATTCATCAGGATGATGAAATTGTAGTTGTCGAATACAAAATTACCTTAAAACTGTACCTACCAAAAACTCATTTATAATTAATAAAAACAAAATTTTCTGTACTTTAGTTAGCAATTACAAAGACTTAGGTATTTACAATAATTAAAATCAACAATATTTTCGGTGCTTTAGTTAGCAATAAACAATTTGATTTTTATTATTTTCATAATATTTTATAAAATCCCTAACTAAATATTTTCATTTAAACCGTATAGTAGCCCTATTTAGCTTTAATTAAAAAATAATTAGCCCTACCCATAAAATTTCAACACATCATCAATAATTTGCATTTTACTTAAATAGGAATAAATAGTAAATAATGTATCAATTAAAATATGTAAGACTTATTTAGAAATAAATACAACCCAACTAACAAAGTAGCTTTATAATTTTTAGTTTATAAGACTATTATATTTTATTGATATTATATTGCTGTGTCTGGAATGCTAATTTATTGTATTACAGTTGCAGAAATCACCATTTTGTTCTCTGAAACTAAATTGTTATATAAATTAGTTTTTACAATATTCTTACAGCAAAATTATAAAATAGTTTTCACGATAACTATAAAATTGTTACGTAAACATTTATACAACTGTTCTATACAATATTTCAGCTTATAAAATAAAATTGCTTTATAGTTATTCTATATTATTGTTCTGGATTACCTTTAGAACTTTTTGGTTATACAAATATAACTGTTTCTTAACCTCATAATAACGCTTTAAAAAATAGTTATATAAATATTAGTGTGAGATAATTCCGCATCAATAGCAATTTGCTTCTGATGAAAACTCTAAAATAACTGTAATATATTGTCGAAACACACTATTACAAATCAGAAAACTGTATAGCAATTATTTTAGTTAAGAATAGTATTATCACTTTAAAAATATTTATAAAAAAAAAATAAAGCAACTACATTTGGTAATACCTACGCCAGATTATTTTGTATTTTTTATTCGTTCAACTACTTCCCATACCAATTGTATGTGAGTGAGTGTATGGTCTGAAAATGTCAGATTTAAATAGTAAAGAAATATAAAAAATAAGTGGTACCTGCTTTTCAGAGAACAGTAAAAAATATTAGTAAAACATTTTGCTGGTTTGTCTAGACACTCAAAAAAAAACTATCATTCAGCCAGATAATAATTAGGTATGTTCTGAATAATCATGCCCCAATACTAAAAGAAAGCCATATTTTTGGCGATGTCCATGTTAAACTTGCTTATTCTCGTAATATTAAAAATTATGCTTGCTCTATAAAGCTGTAGAAACAAATCTAATCATTTCAATTCTCAAATACTTAAATCGGAAATGATTTAGTAAGGTTATGTTATATTTCGTCATATAGTGCAGCAATATGAAACTATTATACAACAAACCATGATGAACTTGTTTTGTAGAAATGAGTAATACAACTTAATTATTGTATTACAGCTGTTTTTACTACAATAATATTTTATAATTATGATTCAGTCTTAATATAACTTTCTAATACCTCTGAATAGCCGCCATATTTAACAAAAACCTAAGACAGTTTTAAAGCTAAATCTACTGTCGGTTTTACTAGTATTTAAGACAAAACCAATGTTAATTAAAGATTTTAATCATTAGTAATATTAGCATAATCTTATTACTAAAAAAAAAAAATCAAATTGCATTAATTTAATTTTTGTTTCACACTGAAAAAGTATTAGAAATATGAATCAAACTCGAGGCGCTTAAAAATTTAGTATTGTATGTGCTATATAATTAACAGTAATTCTTGCTGCGTATCCAAAAACGCTTTATTGTAGGTCATACATTATGTCTAAACCGCGTCATACATATCTCTTAAGTCATTTTACTAATATCGCCTTGAATTTACTTTCATGACAAATATAGAATTAATTTGTTTTCACCAGATACATTTAAAAAACTAAAATGTTACTGATTTTGATATGCAACCTAACCTCAAAATTGAAAATTTATAAAACAGTTATAAAAGTTTAAAAAAACATTTGTTTAAAGTCTGTGTAAATGTGTAGTAACTGTTCGGTAACTGCATTCAACAAATCTTATAGAATTTACAAAAGAACCAAATAGTTCTGTAATACTGCGCCCATTTTGTATTTATTACTGTTGAAAGAATGTTCCGGAAATGTTCTTAGCTAATATTCTATTTTATAAATTTGGTTCTGTAAACATTTTTTCAGCTTTTATAAAATATCAAATTGTTACTTGGGAACAGTTTGTACTGTGCTTTATTTAGCTACAAACAAGTTTATTTTTAATATTTTGACAAAATTATGTATAATTCCCATAAGAAGCCCCATGAATTTTGAACTACGTAAACCGTACCAGCGCCCATGCGGTTAATTATAAAAGCTCAATTGACGTGTGATTTTTGGGAGCGTATTTTGAGCATGCCAATTCGCCTCCTTATCTCTAGTAGATATACTCAGATCATTAAAATCAATTTTTCTAGAAACGACTGTTTCTATAGATATGTCAATTTCAATTAACATGGCAGTATTATGAAACAAGGCATACATAGCTCATAATAAACCAAACAGAAATATATGATTGGAACCTGTCAATAACAATGGAGATAATAGGATCTTGCAAATGTGATAACACCGTTTAGCTACCAGTAGTATAAAAGATAGAAGAAGAAAACAAAAGAAATGAAAGATGGAAGTCGAAAAAGACTCAAAGACAATCAAAGCAAACAAATGGAACAAAATAAATGAAGAGGTTTGTTCAAATAAGTCATGTGTTTCTAGGCTGGAATAAATGCACATACATAAAAACTTAAGCCATAGAAACATTTTTCAAAATGTACAAACATCAATCATTGACAGATGACGTGAATCTTTTCATTTACGTATTCTCATATTTTTTGACAAAATTATATATCTATTTACTAGAAAACATCCAATTCGTATGCTGTACCTTCTGTTTGAAAGAAAGAACGTGTATTTGATGATGCGGGACTCTAGTTCAGTTTGAATTAGTTTTTGTCAGAGGCTAGATAACTAATGGATAGTAATGAGCTGATAGCCAGTTAGATCTGGTTTGGTGAAAAAATATTTATAGCCCTTTCAGAAATTTTAAAAATTAGGATCCTTATTATACCAAAAAAGTCTTTGACTCTAGGGGCTTGTGGAAAGGGATGATGTTAGTAGGGGGGCAAGGTGAGGATATTGGATAGCATCAAGTGTGAGAACAAATATCTATATTGATTTTCGAGATATTATGGGTGGATTTTCATTCATAGACCAGAGTAGCATCCATAGGCTAGTCAATTTACAATTTTTTTGTAACAAATATTATTAATATTAATGATTTCTGATGAATTTAAATTTACAAAATTGCTGTTCTAAAGTTGCCATGGGAAATATTAATAGAGCCTACAAATAATAAAAAAAGACTTGCTTATTGTTCAGATACTGACGTAAAGTCATAAAACTTAGTCAAATATCTATGCAATTCATGACTTTCCTGTATATATAATCCCATCTAATCAGGGGGTGGGTTGGCTCAGTAGTTAGAGTCATGACTTTGAGATCGGAAGGTCTCAGGATCGAATCCCACCGTTGGCCGGGATTTTTTTTATTTAATTTAATTATATTATTTAAAATTAATTTTGATGCCTTGGTAGGATTCCCCAGTCGACCATTCACTGTTGGGTTCTAATTAACAGTGCTATTCCTAAAGTGGCGCAAGGAAACAGTAACAAGGCCTGTCTGTAGGGGTGTAGGACTATTAGAGTACTAATACTTCTACACTATGGAGTATTAGACTACTAGTACAATCCATAACCTACATAACACTAGGCTAATGACCTTAGATGTTGAAGCCGTACACTAAAGAAAAAAAAAAATCCCAGCTAATCAAAAAGTGTTAAGAATATAACTCATTGCCAACGAAAATAATAAAAAATCTCAATATTTGCAAATTTTCTCAAATTTCTTCATTACAATCCATTTTAGAGAAATCATGTTCTTTACAAAAAATTAAGAAAATGTCATCCCAAACAACTCTTAATTACAGAAATTTCTTTTATAATCATAAATAACAGAGATGTACCTTAAATTAAGAAAAATTTCCTGTCATAAAATACCTACCAGATGCTCCGATTATGTCCAATGTCTAATACGCTCACTGTAGAATGGATTAAAGTTTAAGTTTAAAATTTGGTGTTTCTATCTTTGATACAGACACACGAACATACACACAGATATTATCGCAAAAATATTTCAGGGGAAAACTCAAGGTTGAAAAAATTATGATTCCTATACTTTCCTTACTAGTTACAGATAATTAAAAATAATTTAGAGAATGTTTATAGAAAAACTTTAATTATGTTACAAGGACTAGTTTAGTACATCCTTAAAATTATCCTTGAAGTATTTTAGACAAATTACAATATTTTATTTACCCAAATAAAAATTTAAGCCCCCTCCATTGTCCTTTCTGAACCACTTTTGTCCACCCACCACAAATTGTAATTTATCTTAAAAAAAAATAAGACAAAATCGAAAGTACTCACATTTTTCAAAAGTAGCGTAAAAATAATTAATTTATTATTTTATTATGTTTCAAGAACTATTTATTTATAACCTTACAATTAACTAAATATTTTAAAATTATCCTAAAAGTATTTTAAACCCCTCCCAATTTACATTTGTTTTATTTACCCAAATAAAAATTTGAGCCCCCTCCATTACCCCCCGACTCTTTCCAAACCACTTTTATCCACCCACTACAAATTGCAATTAGTCCTAAAAAAAAAACAAGACAAAATCGAAAGTACTCACGTTTCTCAAAAGTATCATGTTCGTGAATGTAGGCACAACACTAGAGTGGCGCGGGGGGTCAACTTTTACCTTTTATAAGGCGAAGAGAGAAGAAGAGAAAGAAGGGGGCAAGGTCCCGATGCAGCCGAGATGATTAGCCCGATTCCTGATTAATTATTAGGGATCAAAAAGAAGAATAAAGATTCTGTTTCCTTCATGAATGTGGCGTTAAATTTTTAGCATCCTGAGTAATGGGTCTCTGCACTTCAATAGTTTTTGAGATAATACTACAGTCAATGAATGTTCAATAGGGGGCTGTAGCGGACATGAAAGAGGGGGGAATTTTTTCTCTAGAGATATGTTTGGAGTATTTAGGTGGTAAATCTAGTAAAAGTTATTAAAGGTGAGGGTAGCCTTATGTCAGTACATTAATTAACTTAGGATGGTAGTATAAAAAGTCCTTTATATCTCAAAAACTTAATTTTATTTAGCGATTGATTTCGACATCAGGTATATCATAACACATCCATATGTGGTTTTTAAAAACGTAATAAGAGGAAATATTCCGTTAAAAAATACTAAAAACTATTTAATCGAATTTAAAATGTAGAAATAAAGTTGAAAGAATTCATCCAACCAATCATTAATTTAAAAAAAAATACTTAATAAGCGCTTAAGACCGGGCATGTGCAATGTCTTTAACAGAGGCAGGCACAACGTTCTTTCAGTGATTTTTTAGCCAAAACTAAAACCTGAAAAAAAAAAATCATGTCTCTAGCTGTCATTGTTTAAAAATAATTACCTTAATATGGTCATTTTTACGATGAAATAAAGACAATATTATACCAGTAATAATTACCCGACGATGAAAATAATTCTTCTTTGAATAGATTATATATTAGAGTAACAAATGTCACTAAAAAAATTTAAATCAATTGCGTAAATTTCCTTAAAAGCTCATTGAATTAAATTTTGAAACAGCCAATTATCTGGCATATAAAAGAAAACTTCCTAAAGCTGCATAAGTGTGGCGACATATTAATTTGGAGCTTCGTTAATAGATGGCGCTAAATTAGTTTAGCAGAGAAATTCAAATACGCAGATCCGTATTTAGGAATCTACTAATAAGCTTATCATTTCAGTTGCTTTTTGTTCGATTTTTTTTTTAATTTTTATATATTCAATACATGCGTAAGCATAAAGGATATATAAGTAATGAGGGATACCCTCAACTTTATATCTTGAGGTATTGATTTTACTTTTTGGAGTTCGGAAATTGTCTGTATGTACGGAGGTGGTAAATATTTAGAAAAACGACTAAACGGACTTTTAGCAAAAATCGAATACTTGTGATAATGTTACCCGTAGTTGTTTTGTAAAACTGAATATTTCAAATATTCATACAAATGTGATGGGATTAAATTTATTTTTTTTAAAATTAAGTTTTAATTTTCCTGTATCCAGTAGAGAAAGTATAGGATTGTTTTTTTCGACTTCGAGTTTTCAACTGATCTTTATGTTTTGATGATAATTCAAAAACCAAATTTTAATCTTTAGTTTTAATCCTTCCTACGATAAGCTCATCAAATTTTAGGTAGTCTGAGCATCTAGGCTGGATACCTTTATATCTCAAATTATATTGTTCTGTTAAGTAGTTACCTATCTCTGTATCTGTAACGTGTGGAATGTGGGTTACCCCCACGGCACTTAGGCCTCATTAGGCCCATTGTGCACCCTCCAAGATGATAGGTACCTCCTAGGTCTAGAGCCAGCCTACAGATTTAATGTAGTTGATAACGTCGCCAAGTGGTGCCTCTCTTATATCGGCCGGTGTTAAACGATACTTGCCGAACACAAATCTTCTAATAAATGGATATGCACGATGGTCTCATCTTCTTGTTCGCACCTTCTGCAGAGTGCGAATTCTGACAGCCCCATGATATGGAGATACTTCCGTACTTGGCAATTACCAGTCAGAATGCCTGTGACTAGGCGCAGATTCTGTCTAGTCATAGTCAAGTATTTGTTTGCTGCAGTTTGATATGCTCTAAAAGCGTGTTTTTTAGTTTTTTTTAAACTATGTTTATTACTATTTTATATTAGACAGTTACCTAGGTCAAGGGCGTCATCCAATATAAGTATGCTATCAATGTTTTACTTTGTTCCAGAATGTCTTCCAATAATAGAAAAGGCATAAAATATGGCAAATGGAGTGAAGCTGTTATGGCGAAAGCCTTAGAGGCTTACAAGGGCAAAAAATGAAATATGCCGCATGTACAGTGTCCCAAAAGCGACGTTCAAACGACATTTAGACTGAAAAAATAAAGTGGCTAACCAAGAGTCTAAAATCTTCGGACGAAGTTTGAGGAGAGGTTGCCGGAGCAAATCCTTAACCTAAAGAAGTTGTTTTATGGGGTCACCATAAAAGTTGTCCGTAATGCAGCGTATGAACTGGCGGAAAAAACAACATCAAACACAATTTCAATAGAGAAAAAAAGGTAGGCTGGTAAAAGGTGGTTTTATGCATTTATGCGCAGGAATCCCAAACTTTCACTGAGGCAACCGGAATCTACCTCCACAGCTCGGTGCAAGGGATTTAATAGAGAAAATGTTACCCAGTTCTTCGAACTTCTACAGAAAATTGTCGATGAATTCCAGCTTAATGAACTAAAAATGTTTAATGTAGTCTGGTTTTTCAACTGTTGCCAAGAAGTGTCCAAAATTTCTAGCCCTAAAGGGTAAGCGCCAAGTATGTTTGGTTGCTAGCGGCGAACGTGGGGTGAATACCACGATGGTCCTATGCGCCCAGTGCAGCCGGCCAATTTGTTGCACCAATGATAATATTCAAGCGAAAAAGCGTTGGAGCACTTCCTGACTGCCTGGTAGATATATCTGACAGCGGAAACATCAACAAAGAACTATTTGTTGTCTGGGATAATTATTTTACCTATGCAGTAAAACCAACAAAGATCAATAAAGTTTTACTTGTTTTAGATGGCCACAATACTCACACGAAAAATCTTGATGCAATAGAGCTAGCACGAAATAATAGAGTGATTATGTTACAGCTTTCGGGGCATACCACCCACCGGCTTCAACCCCTAAACGTGGCTGTATTTAAACCATTAAAGCTCTATTACACGAGAAATGGCTAAGGGCTAATCCTGGATTGACAGTTTCTCAATACCAAGTTGTTCAACTCCTTAAAGAAGCTTATGCGAGAGCAGCTGTGGTAGCAAATGTTATAAATGGTTTCAAGAAAACGGAAATTTGGCCAGTAGATCGTAATATTTTCAGCGATGTTGATTTTGTACCTTCAGAAGTACTCATCACAAAAAGAAGTGTAGACATGGTTGAACATAATAACACTGGAAGTAGTTCCGATTCCAGTGATGAAGATGTGCCATTAAGTCACTACATTAAAGGACCAGTTGCAACAAAAGAAATTAATCTTCTAGATCAAAGAGCTTCAACATTGATATCAAGATCAGCTATGGAACAAATAGCAACTGCATCAGCTGAAGTTGATCTATCCACAACAAAAAAAGGAGAATCTATAAAGCAAATATTAAAAAGTCCAGTTGTTGATCACAAGAAGGTGAAGTAAAACCAACTGCAAGTATCCAAAAAGCACAAATCATTACATCCACACCCTACAAAGATGACCTCGAAGTTAAACAGACATCATCTGATATTTCAAAAAAGAAAACTGTCAAGCGCAAAGTGAAATTTGATTTCGGCACTTCTAAGAAAAAAATCTGATGTGTCCAACACATGATTTTCCTATCTAGTTATTATAGTCTTTTTCCGGTTATTTTGTATAACCTCTATAAATGTTTAGAGAATAAACTAAATATATACATTTTCCACATACATCTAACTCGAAACATTTTTCTATATATATATTCATTGAAAACGAAAATACTGAAAAATTAAAATTTAGCACTTTTCCTCAAATTTTTCCATTACGGCCATTTTAGAAAAATCATGTAAAAAACAAAAATTTTAGAGATCGATATCGCAAACAACTTTTAGTTTAACAATTTTCTTAAAAATCAGATTTTTGCACATTTTGTTAAATTTCTCGAATACGGACCATTTCAGGAAAATTTGGCATTATGTAAAAATTATAGATAATAATATTAGAAGTAACTTTTATTTTAACAATTTTCTTTTCCAAACATAAATAACATATATTCCATAAAATACAGGGTGTGACTGACTGACTGACTCCCAACAAAGTTACAGGGCGTTAAACTAACATTGAAAAAAAGGTTTTTTTTTGTAAAAAGTTTGCTGTTGCGAATTTTTCTTTGAAATTTTTGCCAGTGCTGTAGATTTTAATGCCCAATATTCTTAGGAGAAAAAAAAATAAAGTGACCTTTTAACCCCCCGACTTTTTTTTTGACATAAAGAAACTTGCGTTATCGATCTTAAAATCAAAAAGAACTATGAATTTGTAATTTTTTTTATAGTGAAATGAACTTTGTATCTTTCTTAATTCACGAGCTTTTTACAATTTTTTAACTGAATTTCTAGAGCAATTCGTCCATCCTAGACTTAACATATCAACAAAACTAAGAGTAGGTCAGGAGTTATTGTACAAAAAACGCATATAGAAATCACTAGTGTGCCTAGGGCTGTGCTTGAGCAGCCCCTGCAAAAAATACCTCTTTTATTTATATTTTTGTAAAAAAGGTATTTGCAATATTGGGTTGGCGCCATAAAAATGGTGTGCCACCCGTCCTCATGGGTTCATCATGCCCAGTGTTGCCAGACCTACTGTTTTAACAGTAGATCTACTGTTTTGTGACTGTTCTACTGTTTTAGGCATGAAATCTACTGTTTTCGCCAACTTGGCAAATTTTGTTCTTAATTTATTATGTTTGCCTCGTTCTTTAGCATATGTACAAAGGATATGTTCTCAAGGAAATTTGCTGGAGTTAAATCAGCGTAATAAGTTGAATACAGTATTGTAGGTTTGCACCACACAAAAAAATATTTAACTTCCAGAGAATCATCATGTTTTGATTTAAAATGCAAAAAAAATAATAAGAATATGCATTA